TTGAAAAGAAAATTTTTAAATTTAATAAATTTAATTTTCTTTGTATGAAATTGCTTATTGTTATAAACAAACCACATAATGCTAAGTAAACATTGCGAATTTGTATGATATTTACTAATATAGAAGAAGTTCGTTCAGCTTAGAGAGCTACTCTGTTGAAACTTCGCCTTATGGATAATTGAGCGAAAGTGATTATAACTAGCACTTTATTTATCCTTGTATCTAATAATTAATATATAGATAACTCTAAATGTCTACAATACAACAATCGATAATCCTATAATTGCAATTTTGCTATTGTTATAAGCTTGTAATACTCTTGTGATCAGTTTTTTCCAGATTTGGGCTCTATATGTAACATTTATTATGTAATTATTTTTTAATTTGGGCGCATACTTGTAATTATTTTCACTTTCTGGGCCCTTATTTGTAAATTCCCTATAATATATTTGATTAATAGATTAATTTATATTCGATTAATAAATTATGATATACTCTAATTTGATAGATCAAAAGCGACACTTGGCATTGAAGCAGTAAATGGCTGGCATACTACTATGGTGTCTGAAGTCCTGCCCAGTACCCGGTACATATTATCGTGTAATAAATATGCAGTTAAAAAAGGAAATTTATTAAAAATTTTCTTTTTTAGATGCAAATGTAGAAGTTCATGCGACAATGCTTATAAATCATGTGCTTCGTGATCCAAATATATAACATTGCAGATGTAAAAGTCGGAAAGTATGGACCGTACTCTCCTTCAAACCCTCTAAATTCTGAGGATTCTTCCTCTAAAATTTCACCGTCTATTGAATTATCTTCTATATCATCAATTAGTGGCTCATGCGCGGGTCCCGGAAATATACTTTGTAGATTATTGTATATAGTATCCATGAAATTTTCATTTAAATCATCAAATTGTTCCTCCTTTGTAAAATATATATATATATGTAATATATAAAAAATGTATGTGTTTTATTTATTTTATCTCTGAAAACTTAAAGCATTTATAATAAAACTTATGATTATGAACCTCATCTGTCAATATTCCAGCTGCATTAATTTCACTAGCCTCTTCCTCAGCATTTTCATAAATTTCATCAAATTCGCCAAATTCATCAATTTCGCCAGTGTTATCGATCTCAACAGCTTCATCAATATCACCAGTTTCCTCAATATCATAATCTTCATCAGTTTCAATAGCTTTGGCTACTTCCTCAAATGTAAAAATATCTTCTGAAATATCCATGCCCTGAACTACTCCAAATTTTTCTAAAATATCCATATTGTCAGCAACTTCTTCCTTAGTTAAATGGTCTTCCAAAATGTTCATATCTTGAGATACTTCGAATAATTTTTCTTCAAATTATTTTCTATTACGTAACTTTGGTACATTTTGGCGATAACGAGGATTCTTGGTTCTACTTGATCGTTTCATAATGCGTATTTTCTGTTTATTTGTATTTCTAATACTAGTAATTTATAATCAAAAATAAAATAAATGAGGTAGAGATGGGCAAGTTTAGTAAAGTATTATTATTTATTATCTCCGATTATTTCTATCATTTTTTGCAATAATTACTTATTTTTTACTCCAATATTTACACATACATATGATTACTAATTATTCCCTATGCTTACTTATCACGTTTTACAAATATAATCTGGAAGACAATTTTAAGCTCATTTAAAATAAAGTGTAATGTAATTAGTATATATCATCAAATGAAGTAATGTAATTAGTTATGCATCGTCAAATGAATTGTAATGTAATTAGTTATAAATTATTAAAATCAAGTGACGTGTAGAATGTACTATTCTGCTGTATATATAATTTTTGAAGAGAATTTTTTTTTATCATTTTTTTGCCAATTACTATGTCTTCTAGAAAAAAACCTATTAGTAAGTGATAGAATAATATTCAATATTTCTTTTTGCAAGATTTTTATTAAATGTAAAATTTTAGACTCTACAAGAAAACAAGTTCAAACCGCACCTACTTCCGTTAGAACTCGGGCATGCAATACTAATAGTATATTATTCGTTTGATGAATTTATGAAATTTATATATGAAAGTATGAAATTCTAGTAAATAATTCATATGTAGTTTCTGCGCCTAAAACACCAGCTTTGCCCTCAAAAGAGAGGCAAAGTAGTCAAAAGTCAACAAGTGATCATTATCAAGAAATTGAAATCGATGAAGACAATGAACAATATTTAGATAAAGACAACTACGAAGAGGCATTAAGTATGTATTATATATATTATTTTGCTAATTTCTTATCTATAATATAAGTTTATCAAATCTCGATTCTGGTTCAAAAGGTTGTAGTTCCAGAATTTTAAATATAGGATTATTCTAACTAGTAATAACATTTTTTTTTAATTATCTAATTTAATTTTTGTAGATGATACAAGGAGAAAAGTTCGCAAAATTGCTCTCGTAAGAGTTCAGAAACACAGCATTAATAGTATGTTTAATCGTATAAGCTTATAAAATTATCTTATGAGTATGAAAGTATAAATCTTAGCAAATAATGCACACACAGGTTCTGCTCCTAGAGCTTTGCCCCCCAAAAAAAATAACCAATATCGAGAAATTGAAATCGATAAAGACAATGAACAGTATTTAGATGAAGACAACTACAAAGAGGTATTAAGTATATATTATATATATTATTTTGATAATTTCTTATCTATAATATAAGTTTAATTATCTAATTTAATTTTTGTAGAAAAGTTCGCAAAATTGCTCTCATAAGAGTACAGAAACACAGCACTAATAGTATGTTTAATCGTATAAGCTTATAAAATTTATCTTATGAGTACGAAAGTCTAAATCTTAGCAAATAATACATGCATAGGTTCTGCTCCTAGAGCATCGACTTTGCCCTCAAAAAAGAATAACCAATATCAAGAAATTGAAATCGATGAAGATGCTCCTAGAGCATCGACTTTGCCCTCAAAAAAGAATAACCAATATCGAGAAATTGAAATCGATGAAAACAATAAACAATACTCAGGTGAAGACAACCACAAAGAGACATCGGGTATGCGTTATATATGTTATTTGGATAATTCTTACTATAATATAAGTTTAATTATCTAATTTAATTTTATAGATATTACAAGGAAAGTTCCTGTTAGAACTCAGACACGCAATACTATTGGTATGTTATTTGTTTGTTTGACGTGTATGAGCTTATGAAATTTATGTATGAAAGTATGAAATCTTAGCAATAATTCATACACAGATCCTGCTTCCAGAGCATCTACTTTTCCTTCAAAAGAGGGAAAAAGTAGTCAAAAAACAAGTAACCAAAATCAAAGAATCAAACAACCAACTGAGACAATCGTTAGCGATAGAGACCATGAAGAGATATCGAGTATGTATTATATATTACTTGGGTAATTTCTTAACTATAAAATGTATTATATATTACTTGGATAATTTCTTAACTATAAAATAATATTTTTTATTTAATTTATAGACAATCTAAACTATACTATCGATAACAGTATTACTCTTATTTATATTGTTAAAAATGTTTAAAGTATATTAAATAAAATGAAATTTATTTACAATACTCATCTTATTTATTGTTTAGTTAATAATGCTGGTTCCCATGAGTTGAATATTACGGAAATCCTAAGTACTTCTAGTTCAAAGCATGCAATTAAGAATTCGACAAGCAAAACATCATGTGCGGAAATAACGGCTTCAAGTTTGATGGCAGCGGCTTTATCCACAAAGTCAACATCGTCGTTCATAATTGAGGGTAAGAATAACTAGTATAAATATTCAGTAAAATATGACAAATGTGTTTAAATTTTTTATTAACTAGGATTTTGTATATTTCAATAGATGAAAGCAATTCTGATTCATATGATTTAATGCAAAATTCTCTTGATACACTTCGTAATGCTTTTAATGAATTTGAAGTGGCCTTATGGCTAGCACATAATGAATGAATTCTTAAGTTATTAATTAATATTCAAGATGTAATGACAGCTAAAATTTTGAATAATAGCAATGAGAATGAAATATCTTCAAATCTTACTCATTTGCATAATTCCACACATTATCGACAAGAAATTAACAAGGTAAACTTTAGACATTTCATACTTACCAAATATGCAGGGCTAGCAAATATCTTCAATATTAGCATTTAAGATTCCTGCTATAAGAAGAGTGCAAGGCACTCTTTCTTAGAACACGCAATAACACGACCGAATTGTATAAGGAACTAATTGTACAAGTATGTAGTATCTCAAAAGCTAATGAACGTATGCCAGCACTTGTTAGAGACCTGGGCTGTTGTTTTGATAATTATCGTTACAAACTTCATGTCTCAATCATGAGTCTTGCGGAAAAGTTTAAACAGATTCATGGATCATAAGTATCTTAGCGATGGTTATATATGTTATTCAAAACCAAAACTATAGTATATATTATATTTAGATATTTTGGAAAAATTCTGGGTTTGAATAATCGCGTAATAATTGTTGATTAATTTTTTTAGGGGAGAACCATCAGATGATAATTTATCCGAATTCATAACTAAAGAGGTGTGGAAGCAGGTACTTAGCTTACACTTGAAGGTTACAGATCAACAAGCATTAATGAAAAATCTGGAGACATTCATGAAGCTTGGCGTTTTTGTGCGCCAAGCCGTTAAAGCTGTTATAATTGCAGAGAGCAGTAAACTAGATACAAAGACTGCAATTAGGAAATGCGATAACATTACTATTAACTTAAAAATTCCAACCAAGCTCGGTATTGTTAAATCATTGCCAGTTAAGGATCTCTTAAATTGCTAAGTAAATGTATTCTTCTTTGCAAGTAGATTTTATATAAAAGATTTTGCTAATATTAAAGATTATAAATATAAATGTAATAAATTAGATTAGTATTCTAAGAAAATTGCACAGTGCGATGTCGGAATCAGCAAAAATTCAACAATTAAATAATTTTTAGGCAAAGTAAAGTAAGGCTCAATTTTGAATAGTTTTTTTTACCTAAAATTTGTGGCCATTTGTTAGAAACTATAGAATTAGAGTTAGAGTTCCAATCCGGATTAATCGGTCACCTATTTATCCACCATGTTATATTCGGATATTTATATTTTTAAATCAGTTATCCAAATGGTTTAACCAAGTTATCCGATATTTAGGGATTACAAAGTTCTAAAGTAATCAACAATATAAATTACTTTACAGAGCTGTCCAATTTAGCAACTTTAATACTACTTTCAATTAGCTGTAAAGTAGTTACTTTGTAGTAGCTACAGTTTTAAAGCTACTATATGTTGGCAATACGTCTACTACTATTGACTACTTTTTACTATACTTTTACTATAATTGCTATTATTGACTACTACATTACTACTATTTTACTACATTTTTACTACAATTTTATAAAAAAATTTTTTTATAAAATTGTAGTAAAAATGTAGTAAAATAGTAGTAATGTAGTAGTCAATAATAGCAATTATAGTAAAAGTATAGTAAAAAGTAGTCAATAGTAGTAGACGTATTGCCAACATATAGTAGCTTTAAAACTGTAGCTACTACAAAGTAACTACTTTACAGCTAATTGAAAGTAGTATTAAAGTTGCTAAATTGGACAGCTCTGTAAAGTAATTTATATTGTTGATTACTTTAGAACTTTGTAATCCCTAAATATCGGATAACTTGGTTAAACCATTTGGATAACTGATTTAAAAATATAAATATCCGAATATAACATGGTGGATAAATAGGTGACCGATTAATCCGGATTGGAACTCTAACTCTAATTCTATAGTTTCTAACAAATGGCCACAAATTTTAGGTAAAAAAAACTATTCAAAATTGAGCCTTACTTTACTTTGCCTAAAAATTATTTAATTGTTGAATTTTTGCTGATTCCGACATCGCACTGTGCAATTTTCTTAGAATACTAATCTAATTTATTACATTTATATTTATAATCTTTAATATTAGCAAAATCTTTTATATAAAATCTACTTGCAAAGAAGAATACATTTACTTAGCAATTTAAGAGATCCTTAACTGGCAATGATTTAACAATACCGAGCTTGGTTGGAATTTTTAAGTTAATAGTAATGTTATCGCATTTCCTAATTGCAGTCTTTGTATCTAGTTTACTGCTCTCTGCAATTATAACAGCTTTAACGGCTTGGCGCACAAAAACGCCAAGCTTCATGAATGTCTCCAGATTTTTCATTAATGCTTGTTGATCTGTAACCTTCAAGTGTAAGCTAAGTACCTGCTTCCACACCTCTTTAGTTATGAATTCGGATAAATTATCATCTGATGGTTCTCCCCTAAAAAAATTAATCAACAATTATTACGCGATTATTCAAACCCAGAATTTTTCCAAAATATCTAAATATAATATATACTATAGTTTTGGTTTTGAATAACATATATAACCATCGCTAAGATACTTATGATCCATGAATCTGTTTAAACTTTTCCGCAAGACTCATGATTGAGACATGAAGTTTGTAACGATAATTATCAAAACAACAGCCCAGGTCTCTAACAAGTGCTGGCATACGTTCATTAGCTTTTGAGATACTACATACTTGTACAATTAGTTCCTTATACAATTCGGTCGTGTTATTGCGTGTTCTAAGAAAGAGTGCCTTGCACTCTTCTTATAGCAGGAATCTTAAATGCTAATATTGAAGATATTTGCTAGCCCTGCATATTTGGTAAGTATGAAATGTCTAAAGTTTACCTTGTTAATTTCTTGTCGATAATGTGTGGAATTATGCAAATGAGTAAGATTTGAAGATATTTCATTCTCATTGCTATTATTCAAAATTTTAGCTGTCATTACATCTTGAATATTAATTAATAACTTAAGAATTCATTCATTATGTGCTAGCCATAAGGCCACTTCAAATTCATTAAAAGCATTACGAAGTGTATCAAGAGAATTTTGCATTAAATCATATGAATCAGAATTGCTTTCATCTATTGAAATATACAAAATCCTAGTTAATAAAAAATTTAAACACATTTGTCATATTTTACTGAATATTTATACTAGTTATTCTTACCCTCAATTATGAACGACGATGTTGACTTTGTGGATAAAGCCGCTGCCATCAAACTTGAAGCCGTTATTTCCGCACATGATGTTTTGCTTGTCGAATTCTTAATTGCATGCTTTGAACTAGAAGTACTTAGGATTTCCGTAATATTCAACTCATGGGAACCAGCATTATTAACTAAACAATAAATAAGATGAGTATTGTAAATAAATTTCATTTTATTTAATATACTTTAAACATTTTTAACAATATAAATAAGAGTAATACTGTTATCGATAGTATAGTTTAGATTGTCTATAAATTAAATAAAAAATATTATTTTATAGTTAAGAAATTATCCAAGTAATATATAATACATTTTATAGTTAAGAAATTACCCAAGTAATATATAATACATACTCGATATCTCTTCATGGTCTCTATCGCTAACGATTGTCTCAGTTGGTTGTTTGATTCTTTGATTTTGGTTACTTGTTTTTTGACTACTTTTTCCCTCTTTTGAAGGAAAAGTAGATGCTCTGGAAGCAGGATCTGTGTATGAATTATTGCTAAGATTTCATACTTTCATACATAAATTTCATAAGCTCATACACGTCAAACAAACAAATAACATACCAATAGTATTGCGTGTCTGAGTTCTAACAGGAACTTTCCTTGTAATATCTATAAAATTAAATTAGATAATTAAACTTATATTATAGTAAGAATTATCCAAATAACATATATAACGCATACCCGATGTCTCTTTGTGGTTGTCTTCACCTGAGTATTGTTTATTGTTTTCATCGATTTCAATTTCTCGATATTGGTTATTCTTTTTTGAGGGCAAAGTCGATGCTCTAGGAGCATCTTCATCGATTTCAATTTCTTGATATTGGTTATTCTTTTTTGAGGGCAAAGTCGATGCTCTAGGAGCAGAACCTATGCATGTATTATTTGCTAAGATTTAGACTTTCGTACTCATAAGATAAATTTTATAAGCTTATACGATTAAACATACTATTAGTGCTGTGTTTCTGTACTCTTATGAGAGCAATTTTGCGAACTTTTCTACAAAAATTAAATTAGATAATTAAACTTATATTATAGATAAGAAATTATCAAAATAATATATATAATATATACTTAATACCTCTTTGTAGTTGTCTTCATCTAAATACTGTTCATTGTCTTTATCGATTTCAATTTCTCGATATTGGTTATTTTTTTTGGGGGGCAAAGCTCTAGGAGCAGAACCTGTGTGTGCATTATTTGCTAAGATTTATACTTTCATACTCATAAGATAATTTTATAAGCTTATACGATTAAACATACTATTAATGCTGTGTTTCTGAACTCTTACGAGAGCAATTTTGCGAACTTTTCTCCTTGTATCATCTACAAAAATTAAATTAGATAATTAAAAAAAAATGTTATTACTAGTTAGAATAATCCTATATTTAAAATTCTGGAACTACAACCTTTTGAACCAGAATCGAGATTTGATAAACTTATATTATAGATAAGAAATTAGCAAAATAATATATATAATACATACTTAATGCCTCTTCGTAGTTGTCTTTATCTAAATATTGTTCATTGTCTTCATCGATTTCAATTTCTTGATAATGATCACTTGTTGACTTTTGACTACTTTGCCTCTCTTTTGAGGGCAAAGCTGGTGTTTTAGGCGCAGAAACTACATATGAATTATTTACTAGAATTTCATACTTTCATATATAAATTTCATAAATTCATCAAACGAATAATATACTATTAGTATTGCATGCCCGAGTTCTAACGGAAGTAGGTGCGGTTTGAACTTGTTTTCTTGTAGAGTCTAAAATTTTACATTTAATAAAAATCTTGCAAAAAGAAATATTGAATATTATTCTATCACTTACTAATAGGTTTTTTTCTAGAAGACATAGTAATTGGCAAAAAAATGATAAAAAAAAATTCTCTTCAAAAATTATATATACAGCAGAATAGTACATTCTACACGTCACTTGATTTTAATAATTTATAACTAATTACATTACAATTCATTTGACGATGCATAACTAATTACATTACTTCATTTGATGATATATACTAATTACATTACACTTTATTTTAAATGAGCTTAAAATTGTCTTCCAGATTATATTTGTAAAACGTGATAAGTAAGCATAGGGAATAATTAGTAATCATATGTATGTGTAAATATTGGAGTAAAAAATAAGTAATTATTGCAAAAAATGATAGAAATAATCGGAGATAATAAATAATAATACTTTACTAAACTTGCCCATCTCTACCTCATTTATTTTATTTTTGATTATAAATTACTAGTATTAGAAATACAAATAAACAGAAAATACGCATTATGAAACGATCAAGTAGAACCAAGAATCCTCGTTATCGCCAAAATGTACCAAAGTTACGTAATAGAAAATAATTTGAAGAAAAATTATTCGAAGTATCTCAAGATATGAACATTTTGGAAGACCATTTAACTAAGGAAGAAGTTGCTGACAATATGGATATTTTAGAAAAATTTGGAGTAGTTCAGGGCATGGATATTTCAGAAGATATTTTTACATTTGAGGAAGTAGCCAAAGCTATTGAAACTGATGAAGATTATGATATTGAGGAAACTGGTGATATTGATGAAGCTGTTGAGATCGATAACACTGGCGAAATTGATGAATTTGGCGAATTTGATGAAATTTATGAAAATGCTGAGGAAGAGGCTAGTGAAATTAATGCAGCTGGAATATTGACAGATGAGGTTCATAATCATAAGTTTTATTATAAATGCTTTAAGTTTTCAGAGATAAAATAAATAAAACACATACATTTTTTATATATTACATATATATATATATTTTACAAAGGAGGAACAATTTGATGATTTAAATGAAAATTTCATGGATACTATATACAATAATCTACAAAGTATATTTCCGGGACCCGCGCATGAGCCACTAATTGATGATATAGAAGATAATTCAATAGACGGTGAAATTTTAGAGGAAGAATCCTCAGAATTTAGAGGGTTTGAAGGAGAGTACGGTCCATACTTTCCGACTTTTACATCTGCAATGTTATATATTTGGATCACGAAGCACATGATTTATAAGCATTGTCGCATGAACTTCTACATTTGCATCTAAAAAAGAAAATTTTTAATAAATTTCCTTTTTTAACTGCATATTTATTACACGATAATATGTACCGGGTACTGGGCAGGACTTCAGACACCATAGTAGTATGCCAGCCATTTACTGCTTCAATGCCAAGTGTCGCTTTTGATCTATCAAATTAGAGTATATCATAATTTATTAATCGAATATAAATTAATCTATTAATCAAATATATTATAGGGAATTTACAAATAAGGGCCCAGAAAGTGAAAATAATTACAAGTATGCGCCCAAATTAAAAAATAATTACATAATAAATGTTACATATAGAGCCCAAATCTGGAAAAAACTGATCACAAGAGTATTACAAGCTTATAACAATAGCAAAATTGCAATTATAGGATTATCGATTGTTGTATTGTAGACATTTAGAGTTATCTATATATTAATTATTAGATACAAGGATAAATAAAGTGCTAGTTATAATCACTTTCGCTCAATTATCCATAAGGCGAAGTTTCAACAGAGTAGCTCTCTAAGCTGAACGAACTTCTTCTATATTAGTAAATATCATACAAATTCGCAATGTTTACTTAGCATTATGTGGTTTGTTTATAACAATAAGCAATTTCATACAAAGAAAATTAAATTTATTAAATTTAAAAATTTTCTTTTCAA